GGGTGGAAGGGGCTGGGGGTAGGTTGGGGGTGGGGGAGGAGGGATGGGGGTGAGGGGAGGGAGAGGGAGAAGGGACTAACATGCAAAACAAGCTTGTTCCCTAACTCCAACTAAAAAAAAACCAAAAAAACCCCTACATTTCCATTAAGGCAGACAAGTTACCCTTCACTATTAACTATTTCCTGGACAGTCTCTTATGTAGCTCAGGCTGGCCTCAACCTATGCCCAGTCCTTCAGTCCTGCCTGCCTGGGTGCTGGGGCTAAGTGTGTGTCCTAATAATGTGTTTTATGTTTCTGCTTTTTTTTTTTTTTTTTTTTTTACTCAGGAAAAGCTTTCTTCTTGTGCCTTTCGAGAGAGCATAAACTGGTCAAGGCATCTGATAGTGGACACCACCACTGACAAAACACATAGAAAACATCAGACAATGGTAAATGTGAAGGGTGACACAGACTCCAAATCTGTAATATTTTGATCCAGCTACAGGGTTCCAGTTCTAAGTCCAAATTTTGAAATTAATAAGGAAATGGGTTAAGGCAACACTTTTTTTTGTTGTTGTTGTTATTTCCTTTTGGGACTGCCTATTTATTGGTTAGACCTGTTTTTGCATTCTCGTCAGAAACAGAACTCTCTGCATTAGTTCATGCTCCTTCAAGAGCACAGAAGCAGACTCCGCAACACTGATTCTCTCTCAAATGTGAAACACCCCAGAAAATTCTCTCAAGTATGGGATACAATATACCTGTCTAGAGGTCAACCTCAGAGACAAATGGCATTGCTACATTGTATCTGAAGCTGAAGGCTGAGGACATGAACTCATTAAACAAACCACTGTCTCTGTTCTGAACTGTTTACCACAGAGAAACAACAGCCAAGAGTCCACTCTCTCTCCACAAAGACAAGCTACTAGATTGGTGTTCTCAGTTCCCGGCTTCTTCCCATGTGTCCACCATTGGACAGCTTAACTGTGTTTGCTAGCATTGCTCACCCAGGTGTGATTCATGGCTCCATTCCTAGAGCCTTGTGGGTCTTCAGAAAGTTAAGCTGTGTTTATATATATAAAAGCTCTATTTTTAACTAAAACAGCTTTTTTTTCCCCCCTTTCTTTCAAGACAGGGTTTCTCTGTGTAGTTTTGGAGCCTGTCCTGGCACTCGCTCTGTAGACCCTTCTGCCTCTGCCTCCTGAGTGCTAGGATTAAAGGCATTTAGCCCCACCGCCCGGCAACAGCAATATTTTTATTATTGTGGTGGGGCTATTTTGTTTTTTGAGATAAGCTCTTCTCCCTCAGTAGCCCAGGCCAGCCTGAAGCTCTCAACTGCTGGGATTACAAATGTAAGCTACTATCCCTAGCAAAAAACCAATTCATTTTAAAAGTTGAGGAAAAGTCTGCAAACATTATTATATACAAATCACTTAGAATCAACTCAGTGGTGGTGACCCATACCTTTAATCCCAGCACTTGGAAGGCAGAGGCAGGCAAATCTCTTGAGTTCCAAGCCAGCCAAAGCTACACAGAGAAACCCTGTCTCGAAAATCCCCCCCCCAAAAAAAAAAAAAAAAAAAAAAAAAAAAAGGTGAATAAATAACTTAGAACAGTGCGAAGCACATATTATACTTTAAAAATGTTAGATCTTATTTCTTTAGTCCCTTGGCCTGAAACCAGGTTCTCTAATATGTAGAGTCCTCCATTGTTGGTTAGTGGGCCTAGCAGATTGAGTTGTTAGCATGTAGACAGGTCACTTAAGCAGGTTGACATTAAAGACTTAGGCACATAGTAGTAAACAGTTGTTACGGCTCAATGTTTCCATTGATTGGGAAGACAAGGCAATTTCCTCCTGCATGTAATTTATTCACACATGCTAAGTCCTGCTACATACCACACATTCAAGGAAGATGGTTGAGCTGGCAGGGTTGTCTGGATAATCCCTGCTTCTGGTTTTGTTTTACACCAAGGAAAATAACCCCGGGCAGTCCTGGGATGAAGGGCATAAGGGTGAGGAGAGACAAAGTGCACAGTGTAGGAGCAGTAAGACAGGCAGACAGACAGGCAAGAGTTCTAGCCAATCAACACTTTATTTCTCCAGTTATCACCTACACAGATGGTACTATCCACTTCAGACCCTAGCAGGGAGTCTCAACTGCGGTCCAGAAGAGTAGGTTTTAAGATGGTAGGGAAGCCCCTCACCTCAGAAAGAGAGAGAGGGAGGGAATGCTCCTCAACCCCAGTGCTGGCAAAGTGCTATGGGACCCTGCTGCCCTGCACCATGAGGGTTGAACTGGGCAAGGGTACAGTGCAGGTCTGAGGCGACAGTGACCTAAGTGCAGCACTACTGGCCTGACACCACTCCAGGTTTATTCTTTCTTAGAAGAGGACCTACCCTAAAACTTGGCCAATGCCTGTGGAGGAGGAGTTGGCAAAGAGTGGGGATCACACTGCTAAGGACAGGACATGGCAGGGAAATAAAGCCAAGGGGAGTGTAGGACAGTAGAGAAAACGATAAAGTGCCTGAACTAAACAACCAAGTGGGACATGAGGGCACAGCAGCACAGGTCCCTGAGGATAGGAAGAAAAAGAAAGGGTAGACCGCCAGGGCTGGGGACACAGTAGAGTAAAAAGAGATGAGGCAGGGAAGCAAGTGCAGGCTATGGAAGGACTTCCCTAGCCCCAATCACATCCACTAACCAAATGGAAAATTATTTACAAACTGAAAACCAATCCTAGGCACAGGTACTATACCAGATCCCAGGACAGCAGGCAGGCAGGCAGGCAGGCAAGCAGGCAGAGAATGGGCTGGCTTCCATCTGACAGCCAGCTTCTCCACATAGTGCCTCTCCCCAGAGTGGCAGGGAAAGGAGAAAATGTGACACCCTTTAGTCAGGAAGCCCTGCTATGCCTGCAGCTCATTCTGCCATGGCTCATGGCTCAACCACTGTATGAGCCTCTTGGTCTGACTGTACCAGAGAATGGCTGTCTGGCCCCAGGGGAGGAGGAGGCAGAGCATCCGGGGGCTTTGGGGGCATCTCTGGTCCCAAGCCCAGCTCTGCATTCAGTTGCTCCAGCTCTCCCTGATCCAGCAACTCAAAGTCCTCAGTGGTGACTGCCTCTTCCTCCTCAGGGGCAGCCAGGGGTTGAGGTGAGTCCTGGGGAAGGGATGGGAGCACAGAGGGGGAAAGGAGGGTAACTGGACCACTTTCAGCCAGGCAAAGTGGGGGTGAGAGGGTGCTGGGTGCAGCCATTAGGTCACCACTCACTGCCTCTGGGCTCAGGGTCTTCACTGGTCCTCCAGGAGAGCACTTCACTCCATCCTGGGGGGACCCTGCCCCATTGAAGTGCGTATTCACAAAGTGAAGAGGGGATGAGAGCTGAAGCAAGGTTTCCTTGGCTATAGCTTCTTCTTCTGTATCCAGGGCTTGCTTTGAGAAGGCTGGAGGAGCATTTAGCAGGTCTTCAGGAGGGGCCAGCTCTGTCTCTTCCCCCTCCCCAAGTTCTCTGCTCAGAGCCTCTTCTGGCTCACTTGGTAGGCTCTGCTGGTCCAAATCTGTGCAGAGAATAAAGGGTTAAGAATGGGCAAATTTCGGCTGGGCGGTTGTGGTGCTTTTGATCCCAGCACTCGGGAAGCAGAGGCAGGTGGATCTCTATGAGTTTGAGACCAGCCTGGTGTACAAGAGCTGGTTCCAGAATAGCCTCCAAAGCCTCAGAGAAACCCTGTCTCGAACTCCTGCCCCCCCCCCCCCCAAAAGGGAGGGTTTTCTTCCCCACACCCAAAAACCAAAA